GGCTATTGTGAATAATGCTGCAATGAACACATGGGTGCATGTACCTTTACAAATTGGTGTTTTCAAGTTCTTTGGATAAATACCCAGCAGTGGGATGGCTGGATCATATGGTAGTTCTATCCTTGATTTTTTGAGGAATCTCCATACTGTTTTCCATAGTGGTTCTGCTTTCTGTCCATTATTTGCAATGTATTCTATAAAGGTATACATCTTCTGTTGGGCTTATTTACAGTAAGCTTTCAGAAATTTAGAATAAAAACCTTAATCTTGTGGCTTTCAAACTGTGCTACCATTGAACATTTGTGTTCTATGAGCTGAGCCAAGGTAGCCAGCTGCCAAAAGGTAGCCTGTTCCTAAATCTCCAGAAATAAGAAGTTACTAGATATAATTATCTCAATTTTAATTTCTGGTTTTGTGTACCAGAATCTAATATACACACTAAATATACACAAAAAATAGTACCCAGCACAAAAGTATATATTTACTTTTCCTTCGTTGACTGTATCAAAATCCATTTGTTCTGCAGAGACCTTAGGGCTCCACACCTGAATAACTTGGAGACCCTGTCCTAAATGAGACTGTGCTCTACTCTCTGAGCTGGCAGAGACCTCTGATTCTTCTGTTCACTTTGTCCTCTGCTTTGGCAGCTGGAATCGACAGCTTTGGATGACATTGATATTATTTAGCATGTATCTGTGAAGGTTGTACCTCATGTTTTTTTTAGTTACTTTGCTATTCCTAAAATTGATTCTTATGTGAGGGAGATACCTGGGAGTATCTTTAGTTTTGTTGTCTCAGTTGAGGATGCTAAAGCCCAGATAAGTTAAAAGCATCCTTTGATACAGAGCCTGTGAACCCTTCACTGAGTTTCTTAAATCATACTGCCTGTTGGTTGTGGTTCTTACTGGAGTTGCTACTGATTTTTCTTCCCTAGAGTTAGATGAAGCTGGCCTTACACAGCCTGGAGAGGCAGATCTGCGTTTTTGTGTATAGTTGTTAGAAACACTTCTGATCAAATGTTACTGTTGCAGAGACCCTGAAAGTGCTCAGTGGTCTGCTATATACAACAACAAAGTAAGGATAGATGCAAATAATTAGGGGACATCTAAAGGCCAAACTATCTACGTCAGTGATTGCAGGCTGTAAAGCAGTGCTGCCATCCGGCACTTGGCCCTTGGCAAGGCTTCCTGGAATTCCTGTGGGGTAAAGGTTAGTACCAGGGCAGTCTCAGAAGACTGTCAGAAGATGAACTTCTTCAGAAATAGATTGTCAGCAATGGCTCTGAGTTTCTTGAAGCATATTCCCTGCTTGGAAATATAACATGAAATTTTCCTGGGGAACCTGGAATTCTGTAAGTTTTGGATTTTGGGTACAAGTCAGGAGACGAATGGCATGATTGGTGTTGTATAATTAAGTGATGTGTTGGTACCTAAAAAAGGAGTAATAAAATCATTGAACTTCGTTGTGTTTTGAAAGGAGTATCACTTTACTGCTCTTTTCTCATATATCATTTCTCAAAATATGTTCCTGGTTATTGATATTTTGCAATGTAGATAAATTTTTAATCATTGATAGCTAATAAATCTCAAGTTCTTGTCTCTTTCCCCCTTTTTTTTTTAATGTCTTTACTCTTGCAGCATTCCTTCCAAGTAGCTTCTGTATGTACACTACATTGATAGCCATGACTGGCTGGTATATGGATAAGACTTCTGTTGCTGTGCTTGGAGTAGCAGCTGGGGCCATCTTAGGTTGGCCATTCAGTGCAGCTCTTGGGTAAGAAACTAACAGTTTGTCTTCCTTGTATCACTGGGCACATAGTAAATCTTAATGTTAGGTTATCTCTCCTTATTCTCTGGATAGGTCCTAAAGTTATATGACTTAATTGGACCTACAAAAATTCTAAGGAATAGAAGAACACTTCTCTTTAGTGCTTATTGTTATGATTAATTCTAATAAGAATAGTGACTGTTAAGCATCTGCTGTATGTTAGGCACTGCTGAACCCCTTATGAACTTTATCCCTAAACCTTATAGCAATTCTGCAAGAGAAATACAGTTATTAGTGCTTTATAAATGTGAAAGTAGACTCCAAGAGGTTGAGTAATTTGCCTTTAAGATTATGTTTACTTTTGGATCCAGGCCTTTCTGACTCTACAGCTGATGTTTTTCCTACACTGCACCACCCTGTGCTGTGCATTTTCCCAGTCACCAGGCTTGAGATCTGAGTTTCCTTTCAGTCCTATTTGCCCCCAGCATCTTTTTTCCAGGTTCCATAGTCTCTCTCCTTCCTGTTGTACTCTTTCTTCCCACCACTTCTGCTCTGGTTATGTGCTGCCTTCACTTCTTGCCTGTACCACTAGTAATTTAGAAAAATATTTTACTTTGATGTTAAGGTTATTATAGTGTTAGTGTATCTTTATTATAAAAAAATTACCACTGGGGCCAGCCTGGTGGCACGGTGGTTAAGTTCATGCATTCCGCTTCGGTGGCCTGGGGTTTGCCAGTTCAGATCCTGGGTGTGGACCTACTCACCACTCATCAAGCCATGTTGAGGCGGCGTCCCACATAGAATAACTAAAAAGACCTACAACTAGGATATACAACTGTGTACTGGGGGCTTTGGGGAGAAAAAAGAAAAGAAGAGGAAGATTGTCAACAGATGTTAGCTCAGGGCCAATCTTCCTCAAAAAGAAAAAAGAAAAAACAGTACCAGATTATATGAGGTAAAAAGGATTCTTAATTCTCTTCTTCCCAGCCCAATCTGCAAAGATAGTCACTGCTAATAGTTTTGTATATATGTTTCCGGAAATTAGCCTTTGTATATAAATGCACACACACACACATACATACATACATACCTAAATTCTTAAAACAAATAGAATTATCCTGTACACATGTGTATCTTATGTTGTACATAGATTTATATCATTCTTTGTATCAGTTGCATAGCATTCCATTATCTGGCTGCCCATATTTATTTAGCCATTGCCTTATTGGTAGACATTTGGTTTTCGGTTTTTTGCTATTGTATACAATGCTTCAGTGGACGTTTTTATACTTATGTCTGCATGCTTGTGGAAATTTATCTATGGGGTAAATTTTTAGAAGCAGAGTTACTAAGTCAGAATAGGCGTTTTAAATTTTCGTAATTGCCTTTTAAAGGTTGATTTCCCCACCTCCAATCTTTTCTTCTGTTCTATTCTGCATATCATCCTCAAGCTATTATATTTTTTAAGATTTTGCATGAGACCCTCTTCTGTACTTTCCACTATCTTTCAACCATCTTGATGATTCCCATATCTTTATATCTAGTCCAAACATCTCTTGAGCTTCACTCATATATTCCTAGCTGCCTATTAGATATCTCCATTTATATAACTAAACATCTGCCTAACCGAACTCATTATCTTCCCTTCATATTTGTTCCTTTACTTATGTTTCTATCCCAGTAAATGGTACCACCATCTACTCAGTGCTGAGCCAGGAACCTAGAAATTATCTTTGACTCTTTTCTCTTTCCCATGTCCTATTTTATTGTACCTCCTGAGTATCTTTTGAATTTGAGTACTTTTCTTCATCTCTTTCTGCTCCTGGATTACCACACAGCCTCTTAAATGATCTTCCCATCTCTAGTCTTGATCCTTGTGAATCTATTTTCCACGCTCAAACTAGAGTTATCTTCCTAAAATGCAAATATGATTGTATCACTCCCTGTTTTGTTTTAAACTTTATAATAGTTTCCTCATTGCTCTGTGTCATAGAAGTGGCCGTCTGTGGCCTGTGGGCCAAATCCAGCTGCCCTGTTTTTGTACAGCCCAAGAACTAAGAAGCTTTTACATTTTTAAAGGGTTGTTAAAAAACACAGAAAAATATGCAACAGAGATCATATGTGGCCTGCAAAGCCTAAAATATATACTGTCGGGTCCTTTAAATAAAATATTTGCCAACCCCTGATTTATGGTGTTCAGACACTAATGTGACTCACAAAGCCCTGCTTTTTCCTCCTTTTACCTCTCCAGCCTCCTTTTGTCAGTTCCTCTGTTCCTTTTATTCTTTACTCCATCTGCATTGAACTTTGTGAGTTCTCCAAATACCTCTGGGTGGCATGTTTTGATTGGTCTCCCTTTCGCTGAGATAAGTGATTTCAGGATCACAGTCAGTCAGTTAGCAGTCTACCATCATTTATTGAATACTTTGTGCTAGGCACTGCTGATATTGTGTAAATAAGACAGTTAGGGTTCCTGCTCTTTTGGAGCTTACATTTTAGTAGGAAAGACAGACATTGAACAAGTAATTAAAAGTATGATGACTTATCAAAGGAGAAGTACAGGTGCTGTGGAAATGTATCTAGTTGGAGAGACAAAAAATGAAAACACAAAATGTTAATGCAAAATTTAGATAGAATGTGGAAGTTCAGATCTAGAAGAGATTTCCTGTGACAGCACATGACATTGCTAAATAAATTATAGAGATGATAATGCCATATAAATTCAGAGATGGAAAAAATTGGTTCTGCAGACATTTTATAGAGGAGATGAGAGCAGAGCCTGTATTTGGTATTTGGGTAGATTCTGTATAGATTGGTGTGGGGAGAGAATTCTTTGTGATTGGAGCATAGGTAAAGGCTCTGACTAATATCCTAGATATGTAGGTGATTGTTTATGCAACAAGAGTGGAAGCACCTACTGAGAAAATCAATGTAGAGAAAGAAGAATAGAAGTTGGCTTTTGGGAGATATGACCATAGGTAGGGCACTACAATGGGGTAGGGGGAAAAAAAGAAGCTTAGAAAGGAGCACTAGGAAGACGCCAGAAAAGAACAGGAGCCAGGGAGTCTACAGAGGAAGGAACAGATGCTTTGTGTCAAGTGCAGCAGCAGAAAGACAAAAGAAAATGAAGCTTGTGAAGAGATACTGGGTCTGGTGGTTCCTGTTGAACTTGGACCAGTCTTATTAGCTTGGTGCAAGGCCTTAAGAAAGAAATAGTGAAGGCAACATACCTATGCCACTTGCTTGGGGAATTTAAGTGAAAGGAAGAAGAACAAATGGTATTGGAAGGGGATATATCAGAACTGAAGTCAAAGTTTGTAATATTACTAAAATCTTAGGGGCTGGCCCTGTGGTTTAGCGGTTAAGTGCACGCGCTCCGCTACTGGCGGCCCAGGTTCAGATCCCTCGAGCGCACCAATGCACCGCTTGTCCGGCCATCCTGAGGCAGCGTTTCACATACAGCAACTAGAAGGATGTGCAGCTATGACATACAACTATCTACTGGGGCCTTGGAGAAAAAGGGAAAAAAAAAAAAAAAGGAGGAGGATTGGCAATAGATGTTAGCTCAGGGCCGGTCTTCCTCAGCAAAAAGAGGAGGATTGGCATGGATGTTAGCTCAGGGCTGATATTCCTCAAAAAAAAAGAAAAAAATCTTAATAAATCGTAGAAGGGAGACATCAGTATTTATTTATTTGGCAGGGTGGGTGTAGGACAATAGGGCACATTTACTTGTAATTAATATATTTCAGATGTCGGTTACACATAAATATGTATAAAATGGAGCTCATTCCGTAAGCTCCGTATTTATTTTACTCGTGTATGGTGGCGTGCACAGCACTCTTATGGGTCCTGTGAAGAGATCAGTATAATTTGGAGAAGACATCCTCTCACGTACCAGCTTTCTTCCCTCACCCTAACTGCTAGGACATTTTTCTCTCAGTTCAGCATGGTATGTGTGGATCTGACCTGTCTGAGACTATATTCTGAGTATTGAACTCCCTGCTTTCTATTTCTTTGTTCAATAGTTTACCTATTGCCTTTGATTTGCTGGTCCTGAAACACAGGTGGAAGAGTTTCTTTCATTGGTCGCTGGTGTCCCTAATACTCTTTCTGGTGAGTTTTCTTATTTTCTTGTTTTGTTCTAAAGTTGTAATGAAAGCAGCTTCTGATTGTGGGAAAGATTACATTAGGAATTCATTCTATTTTCATTCTGGTTTATCCTGTTAGCACTGGGAGAATGTTTCCAGGACCAAAGTCTACAATTGCTATATATTTTCTGCTCTGTTTTAGGTGCCTGTGGTGGTCATTGACAGCTACTACTATGGAAAGCTGGTGATTGCACCACTCAACATTGTTTTGTATAATGTCTTTACTCCTCATGGACCTGATCTCTATGGTAAGGCCTTATGAAATTTGGGGGAGAGTTAGGAGATAGTTTAATTTGCTTGAGCTTTGAAATCTTAATTCAATTGCCTCATTTTATCAAATATAGCATTTCTTTGCTAGTAATGTTCTTTTCTTATTTAAAAATAAATGAGATTTGCGTGCAGCACAGTGATGATACATAGCCACTAAGTATTTCTCCTTGATTAGTGTGACTTTCAGGTCTGGCTGTTAGTGCTGCTGTCTGTTAGTCTCAGTCTCAGAGTATTAAGGACTCTGTGGGGTATGCCATGGCTTTTGATACTGCTCTTTTTTTTTTTTTTTCCATTGATGTCTTAATAGTTTATAACATTGCGAAATTTTGGTTGTACATTTTTGTTTGTCCCTCACCATATACATGTCTCCCTTCACCCCTTGTGCCCACCCCCTACCCCCATTGCCCCTGGTAACCACAATACAGTTTTCTCTGTCTATATGTTGGTTTATATTCCACATATAAGTGAGATCATATGGTGTTTGTCTTTCTCTTTCTGGCTTATTTCACATAACATGATACCCTCCAGGTCCATCCACGTTGTTGCAAATGGGACAATTTTGTCTTTTTTATGGCTGAGTAGTATTCCATTGTATATATATACCACATC